ATGGGATCAAATTGGGTGACAATCTTCGGCCACAAGTGTCCGAACGGGCGCTTCAGTGACACGTATTTTGACGACTATTTCAGCACTCATTCAACGCTTCAATCAATGAACGCATCACTCGATGGCATCACTCATGCATTCCGTTACGCAATACGTGGGCCGCACAGGGGTTAGGGGTTAACACACACTCACTGCCACACCAGTCGTCACGCTCTTTGCGATCGACTCATCCAATACTGTCCTCACCATAAATGATGTGATCAAAGGGGGGTTCAAAGCAATGAGAGGGCAATCCATACAAACATTACAATTCATTAGTGATATCAATGAAAGGGGTGTAGAGTTTGCGAACGTTATGTACGGCCAGTGTTTTAAAGCATTATTTGTCTAAAACAAGTAATAAATAGAAATCCATAAAAGCGTAAACAAGTAATGTATGTAATAAGAAACGTCAACTTATTATTAATCAACTGAATATACAGTAAACACTCGATATAGTGAAACTCTATTCCATATAGTGTAAAAAATAGAAATAAATGATTATTTCATTATTAACAGTATATGCACTTATTGTCACTACTATTGCACATGCATTCCATAGAATGAACATTCTATACAGTGTCCACAAATGCTCGACTGCTATATCGAATGTTTACTGTATATTCAGTTGATTAATAATAAGTTGACGTTTCTTATTACATACATTACTTGTTTACGCTTTTATGGATTTCTATTTATTGCTTGGTCTAAAAACTGCAAATTCATTGACAGTATTGTGAAAACTCATTGGTTTTTGCAGTCAAGTCATCAAAGTTTGGATCAATTGATTGACGAAGAGTTTGGGTTTGAATTGATTCCGACATAAAGAGGATCACAAGCGAAGAGATGGTGAGTTCGGGCAGCGGTGCGACCAAAAAGTCGAAGACTGAAGAGCAGAGCGAAGACGTGGAGATGAAAGCGGTGGAGAGCGGGGCCGCGGAGTCGTCTCCGCCAGCGGTGGTGGACGTGGATGTGCTGACCATCGAAGAGCTGAAAGAACAGGCGCGACAGATAGAGAAGTCCGTGTCGTCTAAGGAGTCGCGATTTGTGTTACGAGTGTTGCGATCGTTGGCCACAACTCGCAAGAAGTTGAACGCAAAAGTGATGCGAAAAATCATTAATGGTTTTTACACGCATTCAATCAATCAGAAGGAATCGCTTCTTGTCTTCATCGACGAGCCGATGGACACCGACTCCGGCGGTCAGCCCTTTAAGCCGAAGGGCACCAAAACGTCTCATTTGCCGCTTTTGCCCGAATTAGACATTTATTTCCATCTTTTGGTACTTTTATATCTCATCGATTTGGAGAGAAATGAAAACGTATGACATTTGTTATCCTTTGAATTGCATTGTATTTACTGTACTTCTTGTTTGTCTTAAGGCTGTGAAATGTTCGGATCAATTGATGGCGAAGATCATGAAACAGAATCGGCGAACTCTGGATGTATTGGCCGCCAAATGCTATTTCTATCACATGAGATGCTATGAACTGACGAAACAATTGAATCGAGTGAAAGGCTTCTTCCACTCGCGGCTCCGGACGGCGACCCTTCGCAACGATTTCGAGGGACAGGCAGTGCTCCTGAACTGTCTGTTGCGGATATACCTGAACTACAATCTCTACGAACAGGCGTCCAAATTGGTGTCGAAGTCGGTGTTCCCGGAATTGGCGCCGAATAACGAGTTCTCGCGATTCCTCTACTATTTGGGACGCATTAAAGCCATTCAATTGGAGTAGCCGATGGACACCGACTCCGGCGGTCAGCCCTTTAAGCCGAAGGGCACCAAAACGTCTCATTTGCCGCTTTTGCCCGAATTAGACATTTATTTCCATCTTTTGGTACTTTTATATCTCATCGATTTGAAGAGAAATGAAAACGTATGGCATTTGTTATCCTTTGAATTGCATTGTATTGACTGTACTTCTTGTTTGTCTTAAAGGCTGTGAAATGTTCGGATCAATTGATGGCGAAGATCATGAAACAGAATCGGCGATCTCTGGATGTGTTGGCCGCCAAATGCTATTTCTATCACATGAGATGCTATGAACTGACGGAACAATTGAATCGAGTGAAAGGCTTCTTTCACTCCCGGCTCCGGACGGCGACCCTTCGCAACGATTTCGATGGACAGGCAGTTCTTCTGAACTGTCTGTTGCGGACATACCTTAACTACAATCTCTACGAACAGGCGTCCAAATTGGTGTCGAAGTCGGTGTTCCCGGAATTGGCGCCGAATAACGAGTTCTCGCGATTCCTCTACTATTTGGGACGCATTAAAGCCATTCAATTGGAGTATTCGGAGTCCCGGAAGAACCTCTTGCAGGCCATCCGAAAGGCGCCGCAACACAAAGCGCTCGGATTCAAGCAAATCGTCCAGAAGTTGGCCATCACTGTAGAGCTCCTGTTGGGTGACATTCCGGACAGAGCGCTGTTTCGTGACCCATCTCTGCGCCGATGTCTGGCGCCGTACTTCCAGTTGACACAAGCCGTACGCACCGGTAATCTGAAGCGATTCAACGAAGTGTTGGAAAACTTTGGCCCACAGTTTCAATCGGACCACACGTTTACACTAATCATACGTTTGCGACACAATGTGATCAAAACAGGCGTCCGAATGATTAATCTGTCGTATTCTCGGATCCATTTGAAAGACGTGGCGAACAAACTAATGCTCGACAACTCGGAGGACGCGGAATACATCGCCGCCAAAGCCATCAGAGATGGAGTGATTGAGGCGACACTCGATCACGAGAAGAGTTTCGTTCAGTCCAGAGAGACAACAGATGTCTACTGCACTTCCGAGCCGTTGACGGCCTTCCATCAGCGCATCACCTTTTGCCTCGACATTCACAACCAGTCCGTCAAAGCCATGCGATTTCCCCCCAAATCCTATAACAAAGACTTGGAGTCCGCAGAGGTATTGAATGTTGAATATTAAATATTTGAGACAAAAAATTAGCTTAACTTTAATGAAAGATTAGAAACTGTTTTTTTTGTTGCAAAACTCTTTTACCCGATTGTATATAAAAAGTGACTGCCATTAAAGGTATGTCATTGCTCTCCAAACCCCCAAATTAACCATTTTTTGCTTTGGTTTTTATATTTCCGTTTCATACGATTTATTGAACTCAAACCTTAACTTTTTTTGTTTCGTTTTTTATGAATATTTTTTTTTGGTTTATCAGAGAAAATATTCTACTTTTTTCTCATTTTCTTGTTTTGTATTAAATTTTTTTAATTTCTTTTTTCTGCTTATATATCAAATACAATATCTGTATACTTGTATATACTGTATAAGAAATTTTGGATTTAGTTTTCATTTAATTTGTTTCTATTTATGATATTTTTTGAATTAGAAATACAGTAAAAGACTATTTGTGTGAAGTGGAAAAATTTTAGTGTTAATGTGGTTCTAGTTTTGGCTAGGTTCATGTAAATGCACACAAATGCTACTTCACACCAACGGTCTAATACTGTATTTGCAATTTTTAAAACTTTATTTTTTTGTTTATTAAAAATGCAACTTTTTATTCGTGTCGTTAAATGTTTTGTTTTTGAGGGCTCTTTGACTGCGAAATAAAGTCCAATATTTAGTGTCTCTATTGCTGTGATTTTTATGCCAATTGTGTAGTAATGGTCTGAAAGTCTAAAAATGTGATAACAAGTTGTGGTCGGAGTGTATGTATAACAGGAGCGCACATTTTGTAATGCCATTACTCCTTACGTACAATCTTTTCTCACGACTAACTTTTTTCCGCAACTTTTCGCCTCAATAAACAATATTATAATTTATTTTTTTTAAATTAATTTTTATGATAATTGAGTCAAAATATTTTGAAATATAAACATTGATATACAGTAACTATAATATGTGAGCGCTGTTAGGACTGGCCTTTGCTATATTCCACTCAATACTATATTTTTTTGTTGTCTATTCTTTGGATGCAATGTTTGCCTGTTTTTCAAGAGTCTGTCTGACATTCAAATCATTTTTAGGAAAAACACTTTCATTGATAGGACTAGTTATGAATGTCTAGACTTGAGCCCGAAATGTATATTCCGTTACGCGCTCTCACAAAACAGACCACAAGTTTGGCCCACAAGTGATGTTATGTTATGTTTTGTAGATTATTATTGCCGGAAGTCTGAAGTCCAGCCATTCAGACCATCCGAAGCGCATATATTTGTGGTTTAGTTTTTATGTCGAGACCCAGACTGAGGTCAAGCTTAGGGAGCGCACCATTACTGGTGCTCTCACTCCATGTAATAATAGCCCAAAAATGCATTTATTACTAGAGTTTCGTGAGATATATCAATACATTATGCATTTTATTATTATTACCGCACAGTTTGTGCACAAAAGTGCATGAGTTTGGCTGTCCTTTCATTGATCCCTTTCCCCAAATGGTAGACTATTTATGGCTCAAACACTTGTTGGGAATGCACTGACAATGCAATCAAAACTATTTGTGATATGCTTTTTAATATCAATTAAATCTTATTGTAATTATTGGATGTTTTTAGTTTTATTTTTGGCTTAAAACCTAATTATATTTAATGTTTATTTGCATCGACGAAAACCATTGCATAGAATGTGGCAAATAATTAGTTATTTAAATGACAAACATATAAACAGGGAATTGCATTTAACCATAGCAACTATTTTTAGCGGTTAATAGTATTACCCCCAGACTCGCGATGTGAACCGATCATGTATTGTGGGGTTAGTTTACCGAAAGTTCATTTTAACTATATTTGACTATTTCGTAAATTTGAGTGAATTTTAATTTAAAAACAGAAATATTTGAGATATAATTGTAACAAAAGGACGTTTTAGTAATAAAAATAAATATAAATTGTAAATAAAGGCCTATTGGCTAATGTTAAGTCTATGGACAATGATATTCCTATGGACTAATGTTGAGTCTATGGGCTAATATTAATTGTATAGAATTTGTTGAGCATCACCCGAATTGTGGTGAACGCATAGCATCGCTGTGTGAGTTATTTAATATTTAAATGTTTTGAATGCAAAATGTTTGTACATAACGCTAACGTCAATTCAGACACTTTTTTCATTCACTTTACTATAATTTGAAAATTAAATATTTTATTATTCGTCTCACATATTATTTGCAATCAATTCTTTGCAACTTTTTTATATTTAGTATATATTTATGCAAAAGCCTGACAACAACTCCCCAACACTTTCAGCAAATTATTATTATTATTTAATTTACAGCAAAAACTATTTTAAGCAAACTTTGAATAATAATTACAAAAGTGTCGAAATGTATGCTTTCATATAATTTCTTCTTTTAGTTCTTCTATATTTATTTTGACGAATATTTTGATTATTTTGAGCATAAAATGCATAACAATTGTGATGAACCAGAACTCAACGGTTTCCGTTTGAATCGCTTTTTTGATTGAAATCTCATTTTATTTTTTCTATTTTTCTATATTATATGCGAAATATTAAATGCTTTTTTGTGTTATTATTTGGTTTGTTTAGGAGAGACGTGAGAGAGAGCAACAGGACTTGGAATACGCCAAAGAGATGGCCGACGAGGACGACGACGGCTTTCCTTAAATTACTGGCCAATCGATGACAACAATTCACGCGTTTATAACTTTAATTATCAAATATTTCTTTTTTAAATGAAAGAAAAGTACATTTTTTATAATTAACTATTGATTGTGTTTTTTCTGAAAAATTGAATTTTTAGCCAAAAGTGTTTGGAAAACGATTTTTGTTTGTTCTTTAACTTCATATTTTGATTATTAAAGAGAAATAACAATTAATTTAAACAATTATTAATTAAAATTATCATAATTATAACAAATTATTTAATAATTTGTTAATAATTAAATAACTAATTAGTGAATGGAAGCGGTCATTGATTTTGGCCACTGATTGTCATGAAATACACGTTTGAATCATATTTTAGTTGTAATTAAAAGAAAGAAAATAAAATTGTGGAAATGGTTTCGTAAAAATGGATTTAATGATTGGTATTGTCTGTGAAATGAAAGGACAGAACAGTTGGTAAGAGTGGTGGAGAGGAGAGCCAGTGTTGAGTCCCTGGTATTCAGTGCTGTATGTAATATAAGCCCACATTTTACATACATTTTTTGGTGATCGGGCAAAGTCTGCAACCCTTCCCTACATTTGCCGTTAAATATTACGAAACGCTTTCATTGCTGTCAGGGTTTCTCGTAATCAATAAAAAATAGTGAATAAAAAATATTGTGTTCCTAACTCTCGGTATTGTGTTTGGTTTTTGGTAAAGGGCTGGCAGTCATGCCCTCAGACTATACTCTAATCGCTTTTTAGAGTCAAAAGCAGACGCAATGAAAAACAAAACAATATGTGTCTGAAGAGGGGATTCGAGAGATGTTTTTCTACTCTTAAATCATTTTTGTCTCAACTTCTGAAGACATAAAAACCATTTGAAAAACTAATTCAAAATGTTTTTATAGATTATATGTTGTTTAAAGTGAACACAAATTTTTATATATTTTAAATATATTTAATGCAAACTTTATTTTTGAAACAACAGTGAAATATCAATGAGAATTTGAAATGATGTTAAAAGACTGATTCGCCGCTTATTCGCGAAGATTCATCAAAAATTCAACACTTTTTAAATATTATCTTCTTTTTTCATGCATTTTATTCTTTGGGTTTTCAATCAATTCATTCATTCATTCGATCAAATTGTTTACTCAAACATTTAAACACTATTTTCAATGCATTCATTCGAGTTTTTCCTTTGAAATTGCTTTTGTATAATAACGAAAACCCTTTTTTAAATACCAAACAGTAGATCAGTCTCAAGGCATTGAGTATTAAGTCTCAAAACAAGTCTCACAACTTTGATTTTCATATTCAAAAACAATAATTTATTTCTAATAAAAAATTCATTTGACAAAAATCGACAGAAAATAACTAAATTCATTATTTAGACGTTTTAATTGCATTTTATTTTTTGTTGTTTATAAGTATTTTTATTTTTTCGGCTAAAATAATGATTATAAAACTTAATTTCTAATTGAATCCATACCAATGCTCATAAATTAAAAGTTATAATATTTTTATATGTGTTTGCAATGCATAGGAATATTAGGTATAGTTTTATATAACTTTTTTGAATGAATATTCATTTTAATTGATTTGTTATTTTTGTTCACTTTTGTTATTTTTGACGAGAAGTTTACTTTTTTAATAACATATTTCTCTGGAAAGGAATAATTTCCTTCAGTTTTTTGTATCCTTGACTTCGTTTTCAGTTATTCTTTAAATATTTAAATATTATTTGAATAAATATTACTCTCATATCATATATAATGCAATTGAAAAATTGCATTTACGCTGTGTTTCAGGCTTTTTTGTCTCAACTTTTTTCATTAAAGTCGACAATGAAATGATTTTTAACCATAATATTACGTCATTTTCATAGTATTTAAATACAAATGCAAAGTAAAATTATTTAATCGTTGAGTTTTTGTCAATTATACAAAACGACATTTTCTGCCTTTACTGTTAATTGCAGCGAAAATCTGATCAATAATTTGTTTGATTTTTGAATTTTATTTTTGATGTATTAAAGGGTTGGCCTATAAATTGAGAGCAATCGTTATCACATTTTATGCAAAACATAATTATCGTGTGATTAGTGTCTTAAGCACTGATGAATATTTCTTTCATAAAATTCATTTTAACACTATTTTGATGACAATAAAAATAATAAAAAATTTATTGCCTATTATAGCGACAGATCCAGATTTTTAAACACATATTATGCAAAAATAATAAAAATAACAATAAAACTTTTTTTTGCTAATTATACAACTATTGTATAATTAAAAATTGGTATGTATTTGAAGTGGATTTGCAAATTATAAGCCATTTTTGTATCAGTTTAAGAAATGACTGTCGGTTTCCATTTCTCAATAAAAAATTATATTTTTGAGTAAAAATATTTTTATTATTTGTTGAACTGACAGATGATTTCTAAAAATGCAAATTTTAAACATATTCAAGGAACAAAATATTTAGAATTAATTTCACTATTATTAATAACAATATTTTCAAATGCTTTTAAACTTATAATGTATAATATTTTTAGGCTAGGGCTGCAAATGTGCAGTAATAAATGCAAAAAATATACAATTCTGTAACTACTGTATTATGTATAACTGGAAAAATAATTTCGAGACAACTTTTACATACCATATAGAAAGCATGAATAGATATAAAGATTTTTTTGTTTTAAACCTATTGTTAAACGGAATGCATTGATGTTTGAGTCAAATTTCAGTCTTTGAGTCGCTTTTTGGATTAATTTCTTAAAAAACGACTCAAAAAATGTTATACAAATGGTTTAGCATTTATGTAAAAAAGAGTTTTTTGTGAATTTGAAATTTATTTGAAACACATTTTAGCGTAAGAGTGAAGCGAAAAAACGGTTTGGTTTGACACACAGTGATCGATACGGTTGTAGTGAATGTAATTCATTTGAGTTGTTTGGCTGATAAAAC